TGTTCCGAGTCTCCAAAGAAAATCGGATTATGACCTCTAAAATATTTTTCGTATTCTACCAGATCTATGCACTGTAGAGGATACTTGTCTTCTATTATGGGATGATGAAATACAATGGTTATTTTTGTAATATTCCGTTACTCTTATTATACTTGCTTTAGTTCAAAAGCTTCTTCCAAACTCGACTTTCCTATTACTAGTTTAGGAAGAATCTGGTAGATTAATACTAGCGTTATACAAGATTAATTGCTAAAATAACACAGATTATCGTCCATCAGAGTAATCTTGTATGACAATAACTGGCTGTTAGATTAATCCCGAATCTATCAGAAAATTATTGTTACACCGTGAGGAGTAGTTAATTTAACTCTGACAATTATTTTTTGGTGTCCAAAATAGTGATCGGAGCGGTACTTAGAGGTGTGGCCATGTATGGAGGTGAGAGGTGATGCAAGAGAGAGGGTGTGAGGGAGATGATAGTTGCTGATTTGGGGCTTTGTTTCTTTTTGGCCTCATTATATATATTCCAACAACTTATTTACGCTTGTAATAAGAAAATTACTATATGATACTGAAATTTAACAAAGTTAAAGAATTTCATACCAAGTGTGTTATTTATTAATTTTTTTTTTTCTAACTTATTAAGATTGGACGGATTTGAACTTTACATTTATGGGACGTTTGATACGTTTGGTTCATGGGTTCAGAATCATGATTCATGATTCTGATTATTAAAATTTAAACTTTTTTGTGAGAGAAAAACAATGTAGAGAATCAAGTTTACATTTATGGGACGTTTGATACGTTTGGTTCATGGGTTCAGAATCATAATTCATGATTCTGATTATTAAAATTTAAACTTTTTTGTGAGAAAAAAACAATGTAGAGAATCAATAACCATGATTCAGAATCATAGACGAACTCTTGAAACAAATATCCCATTAGTGATTGGCAATACATGCAACCATGAAATTTAGAATTCTCGCAAAAAGACCAAAGGAAATTTTAAATCAAACTTAAAAAAATCTTTACATCCTTTCTGTAAATCAAGGAAAGAAAAACGATTCCAATTTAATATTGAGGGAAAAACATGCTCGTCTTAAGAACACTAATGAATCATTAATGAAACGACAAGCCGCTATATACTACAAGAGACTGCGAAGGACATGTCCGATTTGGAATTCGACGCGTCAGCACCAATATATGGTCATTTATACTTTGCGGAGACGTGTTTTTGGTAAACAGTCACCTTAGAAATTTCTCACTAAAAAACCTTGAATCAGCCACACGTACACGCACATATAACATGTATAGAGGCCACATATATACATATACAGTATTCACCCACAGTACAATAATATGAATCCACAAAGTATATATGCACTGTAGCAAGTGAAGTACGTACGTCTACAGTATGTGTGTATATACTAGCCACATGTACTGTTGTGCATGTGCATGCTTTGTTTTATTAGGCAATTTATCGGATACATTCATATCTGGACAGCAACAACACCTTTTCAGACATTCACACACAAAAAGTGGAAAAACAAATAAAAGGGGATAAAAAGTACAAGAAACAGAAACAGTATTTTTTTTTGCAACTTGAAAATATCACCTTGTGAATGTGACATTCTACTGTGCTTCTGTGCCAGACATGCATGCATCGTATTTGAAATATCATTTTCAAGCCAATGCGTTGTTATGCAAGTTTAATTGTCCCTTTTAGGAAACATACACGCATTTTCACTTGATTTTGAAGAGATCACGTACAATTTGTATGTGTAACAACGGAATTGCAACAGCCTATTAATAAGTGTTGATCGGTCTAATTAATGTTAAGTTGTAGAGTCTAATTATGTCGTAACGACTCTATAAATCGTGAGGCGATTTCACACTTATAAATTCCCTTACCTAAGTTTTTCATTATAAAAGGGAGATACCAGCCGCTTGGGTTATTATTAGAGAGATCATATAAAACGTATAGAGTTATGAGGTGTGCGATTATTCTCTTACAAACTTTTTCATCATATAGAATTAATGCAGCGGCTACAAAGACGACGTAGTCTCATGCATATTGAGGCAAATAACCTCTATAAATTCTTTGTATTCGGGTTTGCTTGATTTTTTTTTTTCACTTTTTTATCACTCTCAGCTGTAATATGGGATTAGGGCATGTAAATCTTAACAATTAAAATTTGGCTCATAACCGACGTATAAAAAAGAGGTCAGTTCTTAGTTATATAAGCCTGTGAAATCCCAATTACAACGGATAAAATTTTGATTCCTTGTGTATGTATATAATGATTGGCGTGAGATCACTTGTAACCATTTTTTTTTTAATAACATATTTGTTATGAAAATTATAATGCAACAAGAAGATCATGGCAATTTGGGGGCTAGGAGTACCAGACAGTGAGATGGCACACCTTGATATGTCTAGGGTCCCTCAGCACTCAGCAGCTTTGTCCATGTCGCTAATAACCCAAAACAAAAAAAAACGTGAAAAGTTATTAAAGATGTGGAGTATTTATCAACCTGACAAGAGAGAGCAAATTTTGTCCAGAGAGGAATAGAAGAGTTAGAAAAGCAAAAGTGCAAAAAGAGGAATAGTTCGTGTTTGTAATTTGTCTCTGCTAATCCACTTCTTTCTTATTCAAATGACTGTATAAATAATCCCATTTATTCGGTTCCATGTAGAATGTAATTAAACTGCACTAATAAAAAAGAGTAACCAAGTAAATCCCTGTTTCTTTTTTTTTTTTTTTAAGAAAAAAGAAATCCTTCATTTTTTTTTGTTTGTTTGATGGAGAAATCCTTCATTTTGGGTTCTGGGGAAAAGTATTTAATATCTTGCAAATCATGACCAAATTATTGATTAGTTGAAACCTATAATTAAGAACTTGATCATAGTAAGGAAACGACAATCTATAATACATGACACTTCTGGCTAAACAAAAAGCTTGAAACCCAGTTTTCCTCTAATGTCATTTTGTGGAAATATAGACGTGGAAAGTAAAAGGCAAAAGACATGAGTGGAGAAAACCAGGCTAGAAAGCAAAAACCAACTCCATTTCCTTGCTTCCAAAATGCCTCAAAGTCCCCATTCATGTGATATAATACTACAAAAGGACAGGCAAATAAAATCTAGTGCTTGTTTTTGTGGGTATTTATAAAACTCTTTAGAAGAAGTAGGGCTCCATAAGATTCTTTTGTATAACTACTCAATAATAATAATTAAAAAAAAAGATTCTTTAAATAAATTAGTAGTTAAAGAGTTGTAAATTGGAAGTGTTGGGGAGCACGGTATCCCGTGGTCTAATCATTAGCTGATTGGGGCCGGGGATCGGGTATTTGTGCCGTACGGATTTCTCATATTTGTTATTTTAACAATTTTTTTGTTTAATTTATTCATATTTTGGAGGCAGAAGACAGTCTTCTTCATCATCAGATATTATGGGCAAGTCCATTCTATGGAGATAATTAACCCCACAAAGGGTTGCTTTTTCACTATGTTTTTAATATTTTTCCAACCGAAACAAATAAATGCACATGTTTGCTGGAAGTATGTGAATTCCTAATTTCCTATAGGTTTTAGTCTCTTTTTTGCTATTCTTCTTTAAATATTTCTTCTCAATTTTCCGATGTCACATTGGCGCCACATATATGTATGCATATGGAAGGGAAAATTTTAAGCTAAATTTGATCAATAGACATACAAAAGGATTCCACCATTAGCCAATAAATAATAAAATATAGAACGTTCTAATAAATAAAAAATTATATATATTCAAGACTGGTAGAAAGATAGTGAACCTTTTGTGGTCTAACACTCTTCGAAAGTAATAATAAAAAATGTAAAAGGGTCTCCTTCATCAGCGGAAGAACAGTAAAAAAAAAATTCTATATGGTGGGATAGATGTTTCATTAGAAAGAAGGGGGAAAAAAAAAACTAAAAGAGAAATTAGAGCAAACGCAACGTCAAAACTTAACTGTGCAACGTTCTTTTAGACATTAGATTAGACATATAATGTTCATAGGGAGTTGAAGCGTTAAAATTTTTACTGCTGAGAGGCAATTATAAAAGTAGTTTAAATTTCAAGAATTCATATTTACTTATTATTTACCATTTTATACCCTATTTATATGTTTTGGTTTTATTAAAAAACTATACCTTTAATTTTTGATCTTATCAAATATATACCTTTAAATAAGATTTACTACAAAAATCTATACCTTTCCATAGTCAACCCTTGATTTGAATCTTGAAAATAAAATATCCTTCAACAAAAAACAGTAAGTGAAAAAACTAAAAAAAATTTAAATTTACAGTTTTAACCTAAAAAATATGCAAAATACTCTTGAAATGGATTTTTTTTTTGTGTTTTTTATTTTTATTTTTATAATATTGGAAAGTTTTAATTTTCTTTTTTCTCTTTTCATTAGGGATATTTTGGTCATTTTAAAAGTCAAAATAATTATTGATCGAGATATTTTAAGAAACTCAAAATACAATGTATAAAAATATAAACATCCCTTACTTATCAATGCATGATAAAATGCATATGCACGATGAGAAAAAAAAAATTTGTTGCTAAAAATTAAATCACAAAATTCTCCTGTCTCAAATTGTTCTAACAGTTTTCCCGATGATGATTGAAAGAATTAATGGTGATCTCTGAGTGTATGCATATTCTCTTGAGTTTTACGCTTAATACTTTTTTTTTTATTTTAACATCATTTTGATCACTTTGAACAAATCAGAAATATAGCGTCAAATCTCTAACAAAACTGTTTGTATACTTTTAATATTTCGTTTTGGCGGTCTAAAATTTTCCCTAATATATATAATATAAACTCATTGATTTTTGTGAAGCGGATCTCCAACCACGACAACTGTTAAGCAACAAAAAAGTGCTTATCAATATGATCATCAAACGCTTTCCACGTACTATATAAACCCTAGAATTCATCTCCATTTTCTCCGCAACCACCAAAACAAAACAAACAAATTACAAAATAAAAGGCCATGGCTTACCCAACAATAGGTGCCACCACCATATCTAGTGGCGTCACCGTGGTGGACTGCCAAAAACAAGTTCGCTCATGGCGTCTTCTTCGCTCTCTCATAGAACTCCTTATCCCATGTTGCAATGGAACTTTCATTGAAGACCACCATAACCAAGCCAAACGACAGCAAAACTTCTTCCAAACCTATTTTTACTATCCCGGCCAACCTAGCAATAATGTTATCACGGGGACTATTTTCGGATGCCGAAAAGGAAAAGTAAGCTTCTGTATACAATCGAAAGCTACTAACAACCCCATTCTCCTCCTTGAACTTGCCGTCTCAACGCAGACTCTCGCCCGCGAAATGCGCGGCGGGTTTCTCCGAATAGCCCTTGAGAGCAAGGTTCCGGTTCCGAACTCTTCGGGTCATGGTCGTTCCGATGATCTCTTGTCGACGCCGGTCTGGACGATGTACTGTAACGGCCGGAGAGTTGGTTACGCCGTTAAGAGACGGCCGTCGGAGGCTGACATGGAAGCTCTTAGGCTGATGGGATCGGTTGTTGCCGGTGCTGGTGTTATTAACGGGAAGGAACTTAACCGGGATGATGATGATGAGCTCATGTATCTCCGAGCAAAGTTTGAGAGGGTTTGTGGATCGGAGAATTCGGAATCTTTCCATTTGATTGACCCGGACCGGTGCATCGGCCAGGAGCTAAGTGTGTTCTTTTACCGTTCGCGGTGATCGGTCCTCGGTCGCCGGCGACAGGTCGACGGCTGAAGGTTGAATTCTATAATTCCCTAATAGAGTTTTTACGGCCATGGATATATATATATATATATATCAAGTGTACGTTTTTTTCTTTATAAAATTTGCTTGTAAACTATGCTTATACCCTATATTCTCTTTTTTGTTTTTTGTTTTTTGAGCTGTGCTTTTTAGCAGGCTTTGTTTTTAGGGTTAAACGTTTTTACAGGTTTCAATTGGAGATTGATCGTGTATGAATGGGTTTTAATTATATTTAACTACATCTGAGGCCGTCAAGAATTGATCATGTAAATAGAATCTCTGAGACATTTGTACCAACATATTCTTGAATGAAGATATTTTGTTGATAATTGGCACTTCCAATATATTAATGGAGCTTGAAGAGAAAATATATTAAAGGATTCAGCAAAAAACCAAATAAGCAAAGTAGCTCCAAATGGTCCCTAACGTAACTTTTACAAGAAATATTTAACTCACTAACTAACTCACCCCATCTTCATTAATCAATAGTGTTGCATGTACTTGTTAATTTGTGTAATATTTAAGGAAGAATGAAGTCATAATATCCCCATCAATATTGATCAGATCGCAGTACTTCATTCCCACTAGTATTATGACAACATTAACACCTTGCCTTGAAGTGCCTATCGAACACCACTTTATATCCTAGTCTTTTTTTTTTTTTCTTTTTCACTCCAAAAATCTGGTTCTTTTTTTTTTTTTCCCCCTTTTGATCTTTACTTCCAAACTTTTGACAAATTACAGCCCTGATAAAAGCATTGGGAGAGATACAAAGAGAGATTGCATGTCCTTTAAAAAAAAAAAAATACAAAGTCTTAAAGGAGGGGGTCATTGGGAGAGATACAAAGAGAGATTGCATGTCCTTTAAAAAAAAAAAAAATACAAAGTCTTAAAGGAGGGGGTTTTTTTTTAAAATACAAAGTGTTATATGGGAAACTGTGCGCTAACACATGGGACGGCAACAGCGCTCCACGTGGTTCTAAGTTTACCACAGCAGATAGTGGTCGACGCCTGGGCCTCGTTTTCTTCTGAGTGATTGGGAAGGCCAATCGTACGGGCAAATCCTCAGGCCGCTGACCACTCAAGACCGACGAGGCCTGTGACGCGCTTTGGAAGCTCCACGAGAGTCAGACAAGTGAAGAACCTAACCCCCTGTTATAGATGTCGAGGGTAGAATACGGAGTGCCTCATTAAAGACCCCTGACACAACAGTTTGCGTATGATCCAAAAGGTGTCAGTGGCGCAGGGATTAATTATGAGTCCCTAAAACCACCTGTAATGGACGGTTGAGGATTATAGGGTCTGCAGAACCATGATAGGGGACAAATTGGATGAGTGAACAGTGCAAAAGGTGTTGACAGGCTATGATTTGGGCCCATAGAGCCATAGGCACTCGAGTGGGTAAGCCTACGAAGAAGAACCGCCCACGAAGTAATTGCTGGGCTATAAAAGGAGGAGAGCCCCAAAGGATAAGGGGATCGGTTTTTTACTTCATGTAATCTTAGAAAAGAAATATATATAATACAGTGGATGTAACTCTTAATTAACAGAGTGAACTACTATAAAACTTGCGTGTCTTTTACATTCATTCAAGCATTGCTTACATATTTTTAGAATTACCATACCGCCAAAAACCCTATAGCAACAATACATCAAACATATATAACATTTTCATGCCGGTAACCCGAGAGGATACATAGAGGTAATCCGGCGCAATGTTGTTGACAAAATTCTACCGTCAACACAAAGTCTTAAAGGAGGGGCAACCACATTAATATACCTCTTTTAAAAATTATCGAAGGAGACTTAGACCTTGACAGGAATGTTTAACGAATACCTTAAAATCCGGTCCTATCTCTTGGATGAGGAGGCCATATCACTCTGTCCTAGTGAGGGTGTGGTTTTAGACACTTGTGTTTAGTTGGTAGATTCGTACCATGATTTGAATCATAGTTCGTAGTTCGCTATAACGTTTTCTCTCTCATAAAAAATACACGTAAATTGAGAATGATTTTGAATCTATGAACTAAACGTACCATAAAATGCGTACTAAACTGACAGGAAATAAACCTTCACTGTTAAAATCCCCACTGTTAAAATCCCCAGAGGACAAACTAACACTTGAATATATGAACACGAGCCCACGGCGGTATTTCTTTACCGCTAAGCCACCACACTTAGGGTGCATGACCTTCTAATTTATGCTTGGTGTGGGGCTTCATCAAAATGGGTACGCAGTTGCATGAGCTGTTGCCGATTCCCTTTGTCGTTGCGTTAAGAAATAGACATGAGGAGGCGTGTCTTATTCTATAACGCTAATCCAATGTGGATTTATAATTCATACAAAAGCTTTCTTACGGCTCGTTATTATAAATGATCTCCACTTAATGAAGCTTTCCTATATGTATATCTCAAGGGATACTTTTTTTTTTTTTCAAAAAGAAAAAATGTATAATTTGAGTAATATTGGTAAGAAAAGGACTTACAATCCTTTTGGATGACGTTTATTAGCCTTCAGTTAGGCTTTCGTGCAATGATGTTGTCTGCTATACGATGGAAAGAGATGACGAATGACGGTATGGTTGACCAGAAAGCGAGGATGATGAATTATTTGCTGTTTGACGGAATCTAAAATACATATGAGAAAATCTAAAAAGCACCCATGGGTTTTAATGAAATCCTATATTTACCCTTACACTTTTTATAATCTAAAAAAGAAGGCACCGTCATATGTTCGCGTTAATTAAGGTCCCGTTCACTTCGTTAAATCGAGTTTAGAATTTGAGTTTTTTTACAGTAAAATTTTTTTACAAATAATCACATATAATTTTTTTACTACAGTAAAAAGCTCTCACATAAAATCACATCTCAACTCGAATTCTAAACTCGAATAACAAAGTGAATGAGGCCTAAGTATATGCGCGACTTAATACAAAGAGGCATTAGTGGCTAAAAAACATTAAACATATTATACTAATACCTATTTGGTGGAGTGAGGACAAATTGTAAAAGAATATATACAATGTTTGAAATTATTGTGTAGACTTATATTGATTGTTCAACATTAGAGGATGGTTTCTCAAGAAACTATTGTCTAAAATTTACTAGACGCACACAAATTTACAAAAATTAGGATTTTACGATGATTCGTTAAATGTTATGTACATTCAACAACTGCTGAAAGAATGACGGTTCATCAAATAAGTGTTTAATCTCTTAACGACACTTTTAAATCATCATTAAATCCTCTTTTTCTTCGTGAGAGTAAGACTTTGTTACGAAATTCATAAATATGGAATTGATACTAGACGCACACAAATTTACAAAAATTAGGATTTTACGATGATTCGTTAAATGTTATGTACATTCAACAACTGCTGAAAGAATGACGGTTCATCAAATAAGTGTTTAATCTCTTAACGACACTTTTAAATCATCATTAAATCCTCTTTTTCTTCGTGAGAGTAAGACTTTGTTACGAAATTCATAAATATGGAATTTTGTTTTTTTTTTTTTTTTTTTTTTTTTTTTTTTTTTTAAAGAGTCAATAATATTCACTTCAAGTGTTATTTGGGACTTGGGTATTAAAAATGAATATCTCGTGGTAGTGAATGGTTTGAGTTATAAAAGTTTTAATTTTTAATAATTTTTTGTTCCAGTATAATTTGACATTTTATATAGGTAAATTATCCATTTTTTATCGTGAGGGTAATTATTATTTTTAAGTAAGAAAGTGTTATGAACCCCAAAAAAAAAAATAGAAAAATACTTAAACAGTACATTGGACCAAGTGGACGAACCTCACAAGTCAAAACCTGACCAACTTAACCAACCTAACCGTCATTCTCAAAGTCTGGTAGCTGAAGTTGGGGGGAGAGAGAGAGATAAGGAAAAAGGCGAGCAAAAACTTAAGCCTAGTTCATTTCACCGATTCGAGTTTTTAATTTTAGGTTTTTACAGTAAAAAATTCTCAGAAAATGTCACATTTAACTTTTTCTGCTATAATAAAAAACTCTTAAAAAATGTCACATCTTAACTCGAATTGAAAACTCGAATCCGCGAAGTATCATTAAAAAGCTCTCAGAATGTCTCAGGAAATTCTGTTAGTTGAAGTTAGAGAGGCAAATTAAACTTTATTCGAGAAATTAAGAGAATTAAAGCTGAATTCCAAGCCCAAAAATAGATCAAAATAACGCTTAACGGTCATTAGAAAGACTACACAATTACCTTCCATTCTCTCTCTAACTTCTCTTCAAAGTTCTCTAACTCTTCAAAGTTCAATAACTTCACACTAAATGAAGGATCAGAATTTTCTTTCTCACTAATTTCTGTCACATAAAATGTCTTCATTAATTTCACCTTTTCATAAGCCAATATTGCCACAATGGGAAGACTCAAAATCCCAACTATTTTCAACACAAGCAAGCAAGTACCTAAGCTTCCTTATGCAAACCCCATTAAAAAAAAACCTCGTCAATAAATCTGAAACTCAGGAAGATGGGATTGTGAATTCATTCTTTGGCCGCTTACGCAAACTTATGTCTGGAAGTATGCCACAATTAACATTTGTAAATTCGGCGTATTTTCAAAAAAAAAAAAAAAAAGAAGAGAAAAAAATTGTTTGTTGGAGTTAGGTTCTTTTGTTTTTAGGAGATGCAGATGAGATGGGATTGTTTTCAATTTAATTGATTTATTTATTCACTTACTTTTTGTTCTTTTTGATTGAAATTGTGCAGATAAGAGTGATGGGGGATCAAGGACAGAGGCAGAAGAGAAAGTTTGCTCATGGTTATATGCATTGGCTCAGTCAGAGAAGGACTTGGTTTTTGAGTATGTTCAATCCACTGAAAGGGGTGAGTGTTTTCTTTTTCAATTTTTTTTTCTCCAGTACAGTTTAGCCTAATGCTTCGTAAACTAATCTTTTTAATAAATAATAGAATATAAGATTGTAGATTTTGATTTTGTATATGTATATATATATATATATATAACATCATTAGCTAGTAACATGCGAAAATAATAGAATATAAGATTTCTTTGAGTATCTTCAATCCACTGAAAGGGGTGAGTGTTTTCTTTTTCATTCTTTTTTTCTGCAGTACATTTTAGCCTAATGTTTCGTAAACTAATCTTTTTAATAAATAATAGAAAGTATGATTGTAGATTTTGATTTTCTATATATAAAAGAAAAAATTTATTAGCGGGTAACAGGTGAAAATTTGATTACTTCAATTCATATAGGATTAAGCATGTTTGATGAAATGCTGATATGGATACTTAAGTAAATTATAAAAGTGATTATAAAGTAAAACGAGAAACATGGTAGATTGTAATTATTCAAGGAGAATTCTAGTCATAACACAATCCATCAGTTTTCGACGTCTCCGAAAAATTTCAAAATTGCTTCTCTGCAGGATTGAGCTTTGCTGAAGCTGAGAGAAGACTGAGGGAAAGTGGCCCAAATATTCCTCTTGATTTTTCTTTCCCAAAGTGGTGGCATCTTCTATGGAGTGCTTTCTTTCATCCCTTTAATATCATTTTGATCGTCTTGTCTGCAATCTCATACATTACCAGTGATAGTCCAAATGGATGCATAATGCTTGTACTGGTTTTCATTAGTGTTTCCCTCAGGTTTTACCAGGTAATTTTCTCTTAATCTGTTACAGCCATATGGAGGCAACATATATCTTTTTTTCTAACGAGCATTGTTATTACCAAGTCTCAATTGCTCGTTTCAGGAATATAGCAGCTCAAAAGCAGCCATGAAACTTTCAGAATTTCTTCGATGTCCGGTCAAAGTTCAAAGATGCGCGGGTCGGGTTGTCCAAACAGAAGTAGTAGTTCAAGTTGATCAAAGGGATGTTGTTCCCGGTGATATTGTCATTTTTGAACCTGGAGATCTTTTCCCTGGAGATGTGAGGTTGTTATCTTCCAAACACCTTGTTGTTAGGTATTTATAACTTAAAAAACTCCCCATTTTCCATTGACGAGTATTGTATTGGAAACTCCTTTCATGCCGTTTAGTTGCTCTCTCTCTCTCTCCATGCAAAATTCATAATCTCTTTTCAAAAAAAAAAAAAAAAAATCATAATCTCATTATCAAATCCTGCTTCTGAACAGTCAGGCTTCATTAACCGGAGAATCTTGGACAACAGAGAAAACAGCTGATACCAAAGAAGATCACACCGCTCCCTTGTTAGACTTGAAGAATATATGCTTCATGGTATGTACCATATTCTACACCTAATAAGTAGAAATCTGTTCAACAAACTAAATTTCATAGAGAGCAAATTACGAAAAAGATTACCCCTATACTTGGTCTCTTTACCACTAATAGAAACAAATTTACAGGGAACAAATGTAATATCAGGTAGTGGAACTGGTCTAGTAATTTCAACTGGATCCAAGACTTACATGAGCACCATATTCTCAACCATAGGGAAGAAGAAACCGCCGGACGACTTTGAGACAGGTGTCCGCCGCATATCTTATATTCTGGTTGCCGTTATGCTTGTTGTTGTCACAATCATAGTTGTGACTGCTTACTGTTCATCTCACAATCTGAGTGAAAGTGTTCTTTTCGGGATTTCGGTCGCCAGTGCTCTCACTCCTCAAATGCTTCCCCTCATTGTTAACTCAAGTCTAGCAAAAGGAGCACTTGCAATGGCTAGAGACAGATGCATAGTCAAGAGCGCCACTGCCATACGAGACATGGGATCTATGTATGTATACAACTCCTGTTCTACTGGCACATAACTTAGGTTTGTTGTTTGGTCAAGAACTGCCAACACAATAATTTTCTACTTCATTTGTACATTCTTAACCAATGAAAACTGTCAAATAAATTTCTGGATTTTGGAGGCAAAGACCTCTAGGAACTAAACCCTGTTCCCTTTTAAGGAGAGCAATACTAAATAATATATATATAAAAAATAATAATAAAACATAACCACACACGAGATTTATAATGATTCATTTTCAATGTGAGAACTACGTCCACTTTGTCATTGTGGATCTTTTGCAATAATCAGATAAGAAACACAAGGATCCAACTAATTACAATCATTTCACTATTGCCTCTCTTCACTCTCTCAGTCATCTTAATAATTGGCTGCTTTAAAAAATCCCTTATAATCGTCTCACAATCGCCTTTCTCTAATTTCTTATTCTCTCAAAAACAGTTGCCCTAAAAATCCCTTATAGTTGTTTAGCATAAATAATTTTCAACCTCCTTCACACCATCTTTCCTCATGCCAAAGCCAACCAACCAACTCAATAAATAAATCACATGGGCTTTCTTCAAAATCATGAATTGATTTTGCACTCTTCAAGAGTTTATAATATATCCATTTGTCCCTTCTGTCACAGGGATATACTATGCATAGACAAGACAGGTACACTCACCATGAACAGAGCAATAATGGTTAACCATCTTGACATCTGGGGCTTACCAAAAGAAAAGGTTTTACGCTTTGCCTTCTTCAACTCGTATTTTAAAACAGATCAGAAGTATCCGTTAGACGACGCAATTTTGGCACATGTATATACAAATGGATACAGGTTCCAGCCCTCAAAGTGGAGGAAGATAGATGAGATTCCTTTTGACTTCATGAGAAGAAGAGTATCTGTTATCTTGGAAGCGGTAACAGAAGAAAGAAACCATTTCCAAGAGCTGCTCATGGTAACTAAAGGAGCGCTTGAAGAAGTAATGAGAGTTTGTTCTTTTGTTGAACATGTTGATAAGGGTGTGATTGGTACTCTCTCTCCAGAGGAGTATCAGAGAATTTTCAGCATGAGTGAAGAAATAAGCAATGAGGGTTTAAGAGTCATTGGAGTGGCAACAAAGATGCTGAAAACGGTGTGTTTAAACATCATTTCTTTCCTCTTACGCATCTACATCTTTTATTTCAGGATTATATGCATGTGTGGTTCTTGATTTTTTGAGGTGGTTCTCAATTTAGTCCTTGAACTTTTATTTATAGTATTTATTTACAATAAATGGATTTTATCTTGGATTAATTTCCTAAATGCCCAGGAACTATATATCCTAGTTCAAGACACCCTTTGAATTTTTAAAAGAGTTCATTTCATCCTCAACTATATCTAAAATCGTTGAAAATACCCATTCTGTCCAGATCCGGCTAAAGTACTAACGAGAGGCTGACGTGGGGCACTAATTCAAAAGCAAAGTTCAGATAGTACAGATACCCTTTAATTTTATTGATTTTTCATACAATGTGTGGAAGATATGGATAAGCAAATTAATTATTATTATTACTTTTTTTTTATGCAGAAGGAAACAACAAATCAGAGTAGAATTGACTATGAGACTTTAGAATCAGACATGGTTTTCCTGGGCCTCATAACATTCTATGACCCTCCTAAAGACTCAGCAAAGCAAGCTCTGTGGCGGTTGGCTAAAAAGGGAGTAAAAGCAAAAGTACTCACAGGTGATTCGTTGTCTCTTGCCATAAAGGTTTGCAAGGAAGTTGGCATCAGAACTACCCATGTTGTCACTGGACCGGAGCTTGAGCTGCTCGACCAGGATGCCTTCCATGAGACTGTCAAAAGAGCAACAGTACTAGCTCGGCTGACCCCAACTCAGAAACTTCGAGTTGTTCAGTCATTGCAAATGGTTTGTGGTCACATTGTCGGCTTCTTGGGAGACGGAGTAAACGACTCACTGGCACTTGATGCAGCCAATGTAGGAATATCAGTTGACTCAGGAACATCAGTTGCAAAAGACTTTTCCGACATTATCTTGCTCGAGAAAGACCTGAATGTGCTAGTAGCTGGAGTTGAGCATGGCCGGCTTACATTCGGGAACACCATGAAGTACATAAAGGCGTATGTCATTGCCAATTTGGGGAGTATTATCTCACTCTTGATAGCAAGCTTGGTCCTCAGCAATGAGCCATTGACTCCTAAGCAGCTCCTCACTCAGAACTTCTTGTACAGTGTTGGCCAGATTGCAATCCCATGGGACAAAATGGAAGAAGATTATGTGAAGATCCCACAAAAGTGGCCTGAGAAAGGTTTACCAATGTTCATCTTGTGGAATGGGCCCGTATGCACTCTCTGTGATGTGTTTACCCTTGTGTTCATCTGGTTCTACTGCAAGGCTTGCACTGCAGAAGCTATAGAATTCTTCCATTCTGCTTGGTTCGTTGAAGGGCTTCTGATGCAGACTCTGATCATCCACTTGATCCGAACAGAGAAGATTCCATTCGTACAAGAGTTTGCCTCATGGCCTGTGATTTGTTCCACTGTTGTGATTTCTGCTGTTGGAATCGCAATTCCCTTTACACCAATCGGTACAGTGATGGGGTTTGTTTCCTTGCCTCTATCATACTTTGGATTTTTGGTTGTGCTTTTCGTAGGATATTTCTTTGTTGGGCAGGTGGTAAAGAGGATTTACATTTTTGTTTACAAAAGATGGCTTTAGCAAAGTAGAATGAACTTGGATGAGAAAGCATGTTAAGCTTAGACGGTGTTAAGAAAGAAGGAAGAAAAAATTTCTCTATTATTGAATGATTCACAATAAGATGCTGTAATCTGATTTGACAACATCATAAGATTTAAATTATTTTACAAAACAATAAGAATAATATGATTGATCAGAAACAAGAATGAAAAGCCGCCTTTGGATAAATCCTCTCCAATTATGAGTCTTAAAGCCTTCGAGGTGTATTTTGTCACGATATTTGATGGAGATGGGAAAAGGTACATGCTAGTCCTAACAATATTAGACTTTTAAAATTCTGAGTCTTGGCTGACTTACCTGCATAAATGTTAAATTATATGCCGTTAAAGAAAAAAGGGTAGAGGAAAAATGTGGAGTTTGAAGTTGAACTGAATGACAGTGACAATGCAGTACCCTTTATGGATATAAATCTGTTCAAATAAAAAAGAAATAATAAGCCTAGATAATTACCCAATTGAAGATAATTGTTCCTGATGTTCCATTCAAAATCCCAGTGCTTTCTGTCATTTTTTAGTGTCCAATATGCCCATCCAAATGAAGCTGTGTCATAAACCTCTAACTGGGCCTTCCCAAAGTCTTGATATTCTGTCTGAGAACCGCTTGTTACATTCCACTCATTCACCCATTCCCCTGGAAAAAGACAACATTTGAAGCATTATAACTCATACCACCTGGACCCAAAAGAAAACAAGGTTCCTAAATAAACATCAATGTTTCATTTTAATCCGGGATTACATTAGGTAAAACTTTGAAACTAGAATATAATACGCTTGACATGAATTATTTGTTTATGGAAGGCAAAGAAGTGAATATTAACGTACCGATGAAAACAAGTGGGCCATTTGCGCTGTTCAGGGACTGAAGTTGAGCTTCCCTGCTCTTGTAAATGAATTGTATATTATCCGCAGAACTCATATTAACAAAGAAAGCATCAAAGAGATTGTAATAATGCAAATCTATCACTAAATTATGTGATCCAATGTTAGCCTGATAAAGCTCCATTGGATCTGCATTGCCAATTCTTTGGCAAATTATTACATAAGCTGATGGTGAGTATTTCCGAACAGTTTGGTAACCTTGTTTGTAATATGAAACTAAAATATCCAATGGGACTGCGGCTTCAGATGGTTCGTTTAAAAGCTCAATTCCCAACAAGGCAGGATGTCTTCCATACCTGAAAGACAGGTTATGTTGAGAATGGTTAAGTTCAAGCCAGAAAATAAACTGAGTGAGTAGTCTTCTGCACATATCTTTATCAAATCATAAAACAGAGAATTATCGAACAACTCCATGTGTATCTTTAAGCAAGATGATAAGCTTAATTGTAAAGCTACCTTAAGTAACTCGCTGGACAAGGATGAATAGATTCGTAAGTCAAACCAAAAGAGCTATACGTCCTTTTTGCTTATGAAATTTCAATTGAACAAGCCTAACGAGTTATGATGACATTTCAAGTTTTATTATTTTGTCCTCTTTCTGGATTGACATGACAACTTCCTCTCAAACAATGACCAGCATTATTATTGTTAGTATTATTTTTTTATTTAACGCTTTGATAGTAGTAGTAGTACTCAACTTAATCCATTTTCTCACATTTTCAATGATCCTAAAATAAAGTTATCAATACTGATACAAGCCACCCCTAATGAATAACATGTTTTGTATCCATAATACAACCTATTACCATGTATAGTTGGTATTTTTAAAAAAGATGGCACCATGTCTTCCATATTTTGCACTTTTTAATTGATATTGAATGGCACATACAACCTTGAGAAAAAAATTGTTTCTTCACAATCTGAAACTTGTCTCAATATACCTGGAGGCTAGAAAATCTATAACGTGCAAGGTTTGTGAGATGTAATCTGGGTTGGGCCAGTTTGTAAAACCATCTCTACTGGCACTATGTTCCACGCCGTTTTGGGAGCCAGGAGCAGCATGAAGATCAATTATGCACCTTATGTTGTAGGCTCTGCGGCACCATTCTTATGTACATTAGAAGGAAAAGAAAATATTCAAATTTCAAAACATCAGTAACCTTAACGAAATAAGGTGAAACCAAGTCCTACTGTGCCCATGAAAATGCATTATCTAGAGCTTCCAAACTTCCACCGATGAATGGAGCAGGAGGATCAGGATCATAAGCAATCCACCAGCCAACAGGAATCCTCACGGTATTAATTCCTTGCCTATACAGAAAATTGAAATCGTCTATCCTGATAAAACTGTTTCGATGTTTCTGCAGTTTTGATAAAGCCAATATATCAAGAAACAGTGAAAAGATGACTGGAGTTCGCAACAAAACAGAATGTGATGATTTCTAGAAGGATTAGGTATCATAGAAACACAGAATTACCTTAAGGACCCGTTTGGCTTCTTTGTGTCCATAACCATTGGCAAGTTGATAATCTCCATGCAAATTATTTGAAACGATTATCATTTGAAATGTGGCTGCATTATCATCCCACCCTGGCTTCCCTGGAAAGTCTGCTGTAAGCTGACCTCCTATTGTACCCTAAATAAGTATAATGCTATCATTTTTATTATTGAATTCTTTAATGATCTGAGATAATCAAATCAACAAGAAGATCTCAAGTTCCCTTTTGGGAGACCATTATCCATTATTTGGTTACTGCAAGACTAATTTAAGTTCATCTCAATTGCTTGAGTTATGCATTGTTTGATCCTCCTGTTGCGACATTTCATACCATCAATGAAGTAACTTCACAGCTTAACTCTAATTTGTTTTGAAATACCAGAAAATTATTTGAAGATCAGCTTAAAATAATATACAAAGGAACCACTTAACCAGAAAGAGATTTCATGTAAACTTCACCCAAGAATCTCAACATAGGTAATTTCAGTTTGTCTGAGGTTTTACTAAATTCTATAGAACCTTGTCCTATTAACTGGTCTTTCTACAACATTTTAATCTGGTCACAAATCCGAAGAAAAGTCCATTACCAAATATTTTATGTGGTGCATAGTAATATGTTGCAGGTCTGGCAAAACCGCAAAGGTGTTCATGCTTCTAGCAATTGATGTGGTGACATAACCACTTCTATTCTTTCAGGCAAAAAGGCAGAAATTTATAAATATTACCTGCAAATAGGCTCCAGTGTTCGTTTTTATGTGAACTCTCTCATTACTCCTTTCAATCTCAAATGTCTCTGATGTTGTAGATGATCCTGCAGTTGCTGAAACAGAGCATCCTAGACCACTGCATGTCAAAAATTGGCCTTGGGAGGTCCTAAACTGAAATTGTGATGCAGAAACTCTCCATAGCTACAGGAAAGACAGAAACAAAACTTAAGTCAAATAGAATAGTAAAATGTTGATGAAACACATGAAACTCAACACGCAAATAGTATGAGCAAGATTAACGGTTTTAAATCTCGAGATTATCCTTATGCAAGGTACAAAACTACAAAAGTGAAAGAAGAGGGTAAAGTACATGATCAAAGCCTGTTTTTTTTTTTTTAATCTAATAATCAAGTCTGCGGTTCTGATTTAGCATGCTGCAGACAAGTATCAAACAAGATCATGATTCAGTCTGCTTAGAATTTTCGCCCTTTTCCAACTAAAACCCCTAATCCTATCTTTGATTTGAATTGACATAATTGTTTAAAGTCAAGATAATCAAATCAAGCTCAATCCATCTTGTTTTTAATGTTTCTAACTCTTAACATTCAGTTTAGATTGTCTTCCTTGGTACGGACAAAACTTTTCATTCCACATTCATGATTCATTTCAACTTAAAAAATGGATACAGTAAGTATTCATGAAATCAAATACGAATTATTGTGGTTCCTTAGAATCAAATTCTAACAAAAGCTTATCATGCTTAGATAAAATTTCCTAAAATCTTTAATAAGAAAGCTCTTTTATAAACGAAATTCATCTTCAAGTGTAGTACGCTCTAAAAGGTTTGAAGCTTTAAACAAACTATACTTCATTTTCAGACCAAAAAAAAAAAAAAATTCTTGCATTGCATTGAACCAAAGAATTCATACCCAAATTAACATGAAAAGTGAAAAGAAAATTACGAGCACAAAAATTTGTTGAGGATCAGACCCTGAAGGTTTCCCACGAAGAAGGAACATCTCTGTCCACAGTAACATTCATGCCTCCCCCATTCTCTGCACTCACATACTTCAGCAATGTCATCGACTTCAATTGGACCTCAGTTCCGTCCTAAAATTCAATTTCCTCTAATGGGTCAGTCCCAAAAAATAAAGAAAAATAATAATAAAACAAAGTAAAATAAAATAAGATATAAATCCCACAAAGCTCCCCAAAAAAAAAAAACAATATAAAAAAGAAACAAAAAGTTTTAATGAAAAAGCTTACAAGCATGTCACCATTGGGAATGCCATCAAACAATGAAGGCTTAATCCAACCTTCAATTACAAGCCAACCTCCCAAGTTCACTCCTGTTACTTTAGAATTCCCATGTAATCCCTCCACTAAGATCATCCAAACAAACACCATTATACACAAAAAATAAAAAATAAAAAATAAGCAACATTTCAAACAAACAAACCAAATAATTTCAACTGAAGCAAAATGTGGGTGCTTTACCTGAAAATGCTCCATGGAAGATGAGGCAACAACAGAGCAAAAATACGTATGCCCATTTGCCAAAAGCCAGTTCCATGAGGAATGCATCGCTCAGAAACTCCAAAAAGGCCAATATATAGAAGCCATTGAAGAGGAAATCCAAAACCCAATAAAGGAATGAGCGACAATTCTATTACCCACCTGAGGGAATCTACGTAATTCCTTCCTTATCACTTAATTTATACCAAATTCAACTTTGTAAACAAGCACAGAGATCTTTTGGGATTTCCTTTTGGTATTAGATTAATATATATACCTTTAGTTCTGCTAAGAATTTATTTAATGCGCTTTTTTTAGAAACCTTGTCACATAGTGTAGACAAAAGAAAACCCATTTAAATATGAAAGAAAGAAAAGAACAATGTTCTAGAGTGGAAAAGAATGAAAAGGAGTAAGCAAAAAGTGTTCAAATTTAGTGGAGTGACTTGAAAAGGGTGGAGAAAAGAAAAGGGTTACTTTGCTTGTAGATTTTGATAGTCATAACGTACTGATATTTGGGCTAATTAAAGTCTACATTTTGCTTCAATGAAAGTTGGCCCAAAAAAGGTTGGAAGGTATACTTTTGAGTTTTGAGTAAATAAAAGTGAAAAAGGGACGAATACCCTTATTTTTTATTATATATTTTTAGTTAAATATTATATTAATTAAAAATAAAAAATAAAAATCTAAAGCCATTAACTCGAACAAGTTCAATAATTTTCTCTAAACAAAATGCAGAAGAGAGCATTGAAGAATAGGTGATAATACCATCACCTTATCCTCATCATCAGCATGTCGTCTTATGTGGATTGTGGCTTATCTTCATGCATTGGCTTCCTTGGCCAGTTTGTCCAACCGGTAGGTAAGTGGAATAAATAACCTTTTCTTTTTCAAAAGCAAAAATTGCTTTTAAAGGCAATTTTCCATGTTTCTCAATTCCTCCCATCCACCATCATAAGGTACTAAAGAAAACTTTGGCAAAAATATGAAAAACGAAAATTGTAGTAAATAACAACTTCACAAAACTAATTATAACAAATGAAAACGTCGAAGGTGTGTGAGTCGTGTGACAGTTATGAGAAGAAAAACAGTTACAAAGACATATTGAGGTTCTTTTTTTTTTTTTTTTTCTTTTGTGTGTGTGTAGAATATGCTACTAATTTATACATTCGAAATTTGAGATAGGAAATATTAGTCTTTCACAGTTTTTGCACCTTTCTAAATCTTGTTACACCTTTATAAAATTATTGTTATACAAAGTAATATTATATTTATGCACCTTGCTTTTACCTAATCTTTTTAGAAGCTAGTAGAACGGCTGAACAGGTCTACTTAATGATAAAGAACTTGAAAAATATATGGTCGCAAAAGAATCCTCATATTGTGTGTGTAAAAGAATTTCATATCAATATATACCTATGAGAATCGTCAATGTAATTTGATATCAGAAATGGACATCATTGATAGGTATAGCTTCTTACTAGTATGAAATAAATAAAAAAGAACAACTTGTTTTTAACTTCTATCCGAGGATGACTCCGCAAGGAAAATTAGGGGAAAATGAAACATGGTTCTTTGGTAATTAATCACAATTATTATTATTTTTTATAAGTAATCCTGATTATTGTTAGACAGAAGGAATCTTATATGTCCATCCTTGAACGTCATAGGAGTTGAGATAATCGGCGTGTACTCACTCGTTTCTGTCGAAAAAGGAAATCCTGATTTGCATGTTACTGTTAGAATTTGACTAATCAGGTGATGTTGTGTGATGCACCACTGTTTAACAATTTCGTATATCAAAAGTGAAAATTATATCATAACTATTGAGGTTAAATGTCGTACTTCATTTCTCATCGTACACGTAATCGGCCTACGGACTCAGTCCCAAGCTGCCGACAGCTCACCAATCTGATAGGTCGCCAGACGAATCACCAATAAACGACAAGCCATCTATTGAGTCCACAGTTTCTCATATCAAGAAATGACCTAGAAGAATGGCTCCAACACATTAGAATTGAGCCGCGAGCTTCAGACATCTCGCGGGTTGCAACTCAATCGCCCGACAGCTCGCCGGACGATCTGCCCGGCTGCCCAAATGACTTGGTGCGGAAGTAACTTAAGTAATTAGTCATGTGTCTTTGTAATGCAGCATTCGACATTGCTAATATCGGCGAACCCATGATGAATTTAACCTTGCATATTCTTATTATGCTAATTATTGCTATGCAAACTTGCATATTCTTAACAAGCACGTTTCTAAGACAACTGTGACATAAATTCAACTTTTTCTTGTTTTACTTTTACCAAGTAATGTTTAGTTGTATTACTTTAGTCACTTATATGTAAAAATAATTTACATTCATTTCAGCTTCATGATTCTCATTCGAATTGACAACAATAAACTTTCAGCATCACCACAGGATGGTAGTTTTCTGCAACCCATGTTTGTATCCTTTGGCTCTTCTTTTTTCTACAAGGGAATTTTAGTTTCTGAATCTCATTATAGGATGATTGAGATACAAGTGATTGGCTATTTGGCTTTTTGACCTTCTTTCTCATTATAGGATGATTGAGATATATTTATCTATTTTAATTAATTATTTTTTTTTGTGTTTACTCTCACATACTTTTTTTTTTTTTTTGGTTCAACAGAGGGAACTTACATAATTTTTAAACACGTCAAGAAGTGCCTTTTTTTTTTTTTTTTTGAGAGCCAGTTTGAACAATCCATCGTGCCCAAAAAAAAAAAAAAAAAATCAAAACAAAACAAAACAAAAGGAGAGGAAATCGCTGTACATGTAAGTAAGCATCGAAAAAAACAGATTTATTTCTGCATAACACTTGCTGGCAAGTCCTATATATCAATGATTTTTTTTTTTAGGACAATAAAAGGACAGCTAAAACAAGGTAGCCCCCAGAATCTTAAGGCCACTGTTTGTGCCTGGATTTTATTAGAATAATCCCATTTGCCAAATATTGCACTACAAATTTTGCATTAAGAGACAAATAATATTCTTCGAAAGAATATATCACGGCAGCTTAAGTAACCTACGCTAAAATTCAAACTTCTTAGCTAGCTTTAGGTTTTTTTTTTTTTTTTGGGAGAGTCAATGTGAAGGACAAGTTTTAAAATTTTTCCCTAAATTTATTAACTTGTTGGAACTTGTTCTCCCATTTTAAGATGTGTTATATTCTCTATCCCCATTAATTTTCTGTAAGTGTGAAGTATTCCCCTCCAGGGTACCCTCAAACTATATGGCACTTGTTTTATCATGCCCTAAAACTAAAAATATAGCCTTCAGGTCCCTGATCTGTGTAAACGTGTTTAAAATTTTCCAGCCAATTCTTAGAGAGAAATGGATTTTCAAGTTTGGAAGTTGGCGACCGAGTTTTTCTCTTATAATGAATCTCTCTCTCATTGCCTGAGGCATTTTGGATGCAAATTCTGTAATTTCATTTTTTCCAAGATTTTTCACTCAGCAACAAATGGGCGCCTTTTACAAGAGTGATGCTTGTGAAGAGTTTGTTGGAAAACGCTTCACAAATTATTTCCTCAAATGTGCTTTAAGTAATGAGAAATTGGTTTTTTTTTTTTTTTTTTTTTTTTTTTTTTTTTTTGAAGAAGAAGTTTGATTAAAAGTTTTTTAAAACCCCACAGATTAGTTAGGTCTGAAAGATTTTTAAGGTCATTACAAACACATAACGTTATATATAAAGCATGGCTCCAACCAAATTAATATTCTTCACATCATCTTCTGCTCCATCAACATTATGTTTCTTGAAAATATTATTGGATTCCTTTTCTTTCACTTTTTTTTTAATTGTTTTTGATTAATCCAAATACTTGATTAATCCATCAACTCTCTGATAATAATTATTGTCTCTTGTGTTTGAATGAGTTTACAAACGCCACCCTATTGTCCCCCCATGGAGAGTTTTAAAAGCCTACTAGGGTCAGGATTCATATACCTAGAAAGAGTTGACAGGATTTGACTTGGTCAAACACTAGTCAACCTACATTGAGCATATGCTAACCAATCCTATTTTCGGTGAAAAATGATATTTATTTTGATTGGGATAAAATCTCATACTCACATAATAGTGAGTCTTATTAAGTTAAGCTCACCTATTCACTTAGTTAATGGGTTCCGCCTTATATGAATAACGAAATTTTATCTCCATTGAGATGAATAGAGGTGCTCCTTTTGGGTTGGTCATTATAATCATTATAACTTGGATGGAGGGGACGCTTTGAACTATTTTTTTTATATCGAATGGTGTTTTGAATCATTTTACAAATTATGGAGCATTTTGAAACAATGTATATATTTCAAAGGGTATTTATAAAAATAATCTTTATAACTTTACGTGGATGAAGAGAAATGATAATTGATATAACTATTATACATTTAAGATTGGACGGTTGGTCATTATAATCATTATAACTTGGATGGAGGGGACGCTTTGAACTATTTTTTATATATCGAAGGGTATTTTGAATCATTTTACAAATTATGGAGCATTTTGAAACAATATATAACAATGTTTTATGAAAAAAAAAACATTTTTTAATGTACTAAAAACGTAACATGGATTTTTTTTTTTTCGTAAATCAATATGCTCTCATTAAATGATATTATAAGCTTTTACATTAGATGATGATTGCTAAAAATCATCTTCTATTATGCTACCTTAGATGACCGTTTTTTTAACAAAGCATCACTTAATGTACCACATCAGACGATAGTTTCTAAAAAATTATGTATTGTCTAATATACAAATTTGCATAAAAAATAAATAAATAAAAGAGAGGTCTTTTTCCTACTCATTCCCTTTCTTAAAAAAAATTCAAAATTTCATTTCCCTTTCATAATTTCGACCACCCAATCTCTCTAATTTACTAACTAAAAATTTTGTCTCAATTCCGCTTCTCTCTTTATACTATTTTAATAGTCTTCTTTACGTCCAACTTTATCTTGAGCTCTTTCTTCTTCCAAACCGTAAAAAGATTTTCCCCTAAATCCCCCTTCATCTCCTCCACTCTCCTCACTCCCTCAACCCAACCACCACTGCCGCCTCCGCAACCATGCCTGCAATCATCCTCACCTCCATGTTCGCCACCACCATCAGAATTGAAGTATGTTAGAATCTTTAGATGAATGAAAATAATTAATAAACCATACAGAGTCTCATGGAAGTAAATAACCAACTA